TACGTTTAAAAACAATTCCCTTGGATAAATACTAGGTATTCAAAGAAAACTCATTTAAAGGTTAGGCAAATCTAAGTTTACTAGATTTTTATTGCACTTTACCGAGTATAGTCTAGCTGTTGACTGTATACTGTTTTGTTGTGTCTGCAACAGTTTCATTTGTATGCACTTCAGGAGTTAGTTTCCTAGACCAGTAATCTCCAGATAAGTGCACCACGACCCTTCTCTCTAAAAACATCTGAAAATGCCTCATTCTTCACAGAGCATACTGATTGTCACTTTAAATTGGGGAAGGGGGCTGAAAATCAGTTACACTGTGATGAGAAGGGTCAGGTTCCCCAAATGTGGGTCTCAAGGAAGTAACCTGCATATTTTCAAAAACGGCCTTCGGGAAGGCATGCTTCGCCTGCTGGTGCACACAGTACACGGCTGGGTCCCTAAGCTGAAGGTGCCAAGGCTGCCTGGGTGGAACGTTCAGCTCTGCCACTTCTGAGTTCAGAAAATTAGGCAAATTATTTCATCTCACTCAGCTTCAGTTTTGTTATTTTAAAATTCTGAATAATGATAGCAGAACCCAATTTCTAGGTTTAAAAGGCATAATTTATATAAAGTGCTATGAAATGAGTCAGCCCATAATCAGAGTTGGCTAGTTCGAACACTTACTACAATTTTACATCAACTCTCTTGCTGTGTGGTCTTGAGAAGTCACTTGTCCTGGGAGTGTGAGTATCTTCACCTGTAGAACAGGGAGGTTGATTAGCCAATCTTAGGATTTTATGATCCTCTTGCTGTTAGACAATTGCCTGGAGATAGGGTCCTGTCCCTCCTCCTCCACACTCTCCCATGCTGTGTGCAGGCAGATGTGACCCCTAGCTGCATGAGGGCAGGCCTGGCCCCATGGCAGCATTACCGCTTTGCCAGGGAAAGGAGGGCATCACAGATGATCCCAAGCTGCGTCTTGAAGAAACACAAAACTAAAGATTTTGCATGTACATCTAGGAGCAAGTTTCACACTGGAATCGCTTCCTTGTTCCTGAGATTCCTTTCCTCATGCACCTTTTTCTGTGGAAGTAGATGATATGGTTTGGCTGTGTCCCACCCAAATCTTATTTTGAATTCCCATGTGTTGTGGGAGGGACACGGTGGGAGGTAATTGAATCATGGGAGCAGGTCTTTCCCATGCTGTTCTTGTGATTGTGAATAAGTTTCATGAGATCTGATGGCTTTAAAAGGAGGATTTTCCCTCCATAAACTCCCTCTCTTTCTGCCTGCTGCCATCCATGTAAGACATGACTTGCTCCTCCTTGCCTTCCACTGTGATTGTGAGGTCTCCTCAGCCACTTGGAACTGTAAGTCCATTAAACCTCTTTCTTTTGTAAATTGCCCAGTCTTGGGTATGTCTTTATTAGCAGTGTGAAAATGGACTAATACAGTAGAGAATTAGTGAGAAACTTAACTGAGAAAAAAAAACTACAGAGAAGAATCCAGAGTTATTCACTCAAGGCCCAGGATGTGGGGCATGTGTGGCATTCTCCTGGCTACTCTTGCTCCTAGATAGAGGTGGATGGAAACTCCAGGAACATCACCCATCCCCACCTCCTGCCACATGTCCCTAAAGCCTCCCTTGCCCTCTCCCTCTCCACCCTTCCCCATAAGCAGTGTTTTCCCAGGCTCTCAGGCAGCCCTGCTCACTCCCTCAGCAGCTGGTCTACCAGTCATCAGCTGAGAGCAGACCCTCCATTCACCCAGTTTCCTGCACTATGCTGTACCATGGAACATGCAATATATACGTGTGTGTGTGTATGCACAAATATCAGATACCCCACACAGTTCAATTTAAAGAAGACTATATCCTTTGATAAATACTAGACATTAAAAGAAAACTCATATAAAGGGTATTCAAATTTAGGTTTACTAGATTAATTATTATTTACCAGGTTAATTAGCTGTTATGGCCTGGAACCACACAAAGGGGCCAGCATCCCGCTCCCCCCACCTTCCAAGCCAATGTGAAGGAATCCATGGGGAGATTCCTGCCAGGTTTCCTATGGGATGAGGTGGGGGTGGGGCGAGGGGCAGAGAACAGCTTCCCAACAGACAGCCAGGCACCTGGGGGACTGGCAGGTGGGAGTCTGTGCTCACAAAGAAAACATTCCAGGTTGGCCTGAGCAACACTCACAGCAACACTCAGGCAACACTCACAGCTCCCTCCCTGCAGCCTGCACACCCTGGCTCAGGACACCCGAATGTTGTAGGATTCTCTCACCAGCCACCAGCCAGGGCCTTTGTAGCTGCTTCGGGTGGTGCCCGGACCCACACTCCCATCCTGCTACAGATGCCTGCAGTTAGAGAGCCCTGGGCATCTCTTCAGCAGAGGGTCCTGCCAGGCTCCCCTCATTCAGAGGAGACAGACTTCCCCTCTCCGACAGACTTTCTTTTTTTTTTTTTTTGAGAAGGAGCCTAGCTCTGTTGCCCAGGCTGGAGTGAGCAGCGCAATCTTGGCTCACTGCAAGCGCCGCCTCCCAGGTTCACGCCATTCTCCTGCCTCAGCCTCTCCAGCAGCTGGGACTATAGGCGCCCACCACCACACCCGGCTAATTTTTTGTATTTTTAGTAGAGATGGGGTTTACAGTGTTAGCCAGGATGGTCTCGATCTCTTGACCTCATGATCCGCCCGCCTCGGCCTCCCAAAGTGCTGGGATTACAGACGTGAGCCACCGCGCCTGGCGGACAGACTTTATTTTTATCATCATGTGGGGAGTGAACATGGTTCTCTTCCTGCCTGAAGGGGGCACGAGGATATTGACTCTCTGTGGGATTCCAGGCCTTTCTGCGACTTCTGGACCCAGGTGAAGGAAGCCAAGGAAAGGAATGCTATGGGGAGAGGGTGGAGGAAGCAGAGAGCAAAGGAAGGCTGTAGGGACACGTGGTCAGGTGGAAGCCCAAACCACGCAGCGGTGAGTGGATGTCAGGGGCTAGAAATCGTGGTCTCAGGGTTCACCGTGCCATGGGGAGGTGTGTATTTCACCATACCCTGTGCCAGAGAGGCTACAGAGCGGGTCTGTTCAGCTGTCCTTGTACCCACATGAGACTCCCACCACTGCAACACCAGAGGCCCGGGGCCTGCCCTCCTTGTTTGGAGATTCTGATTTCCCCAGGATCTTGGTGAATTTTCTTGGACCACAGTAAATACCCTCAGAACTATTGTCCTCACCTTCTGTCCAGCAGTTTTGCCCGGCTGACAGCCGTGAGTGCATTAGGATGCAGCTCAGAACCCCTTCCCCGCAGGAGGATCTGCGCGCCTCCAGCCTTCACTCACTGTCTTGGTAGCCCAGAACTCCACTTTCATCTCCCCAGACCTAGGAAACTGTCACAGTTTCTAAGCATTCTGCTCGGTCTCTCTGACCTTCAATACTGAAAAAGCAGCAAATACCTGCAGGGAGAACGCTGACCCAATTCAACGCATTTCCCTTCTTCCTGGGTACTTGGCCCTTCCGTTCCTGGCCTTTGTGATCACTCTCTGACACCGGCCAGTAGCTGCTTTTTGTATTTTATGTGGCATTTATATTTATTTTTCGTGGTGATGGTGGTGAGGGGGCTTCTTGGTGCAATAAAGATGTTTCTGACGTCTGAAAACTCCACAAGAACGTGAAGACCTGCGGGTCTAACTTCTCACCAAGAAGCTGCAGAACTCGTGTTATCTCTAATAGGGGATGTTTGACACTCACAGGAAGCATTACTCATTCTTACAGACCGAGCTTGATTTTTTAAACATCAGTTTTTAGGCCGGGCGCAGTGGCTCATGCCTGTAATCCCAGCACTTTGGGAGGCCAAGGTGGGCAGATCACGAGGTCAGGAGATAGAGACCATCCTGGCTAACATGGTGAAACCCAGTCTCTACTAAAAATAAAAAAAAAATTAGCCTGGCGTGGTGACAGGCGCCTGTAATCCCAGCTACTAGGGAGGCTGAGGCAGGAGAATGGCGTGAACCCAGGAGGCGGAGCTTGCAGTGAGCCAAGACCACACCACTGCACTCCAGCCTGGGTGACAGAGCGAGACTCTTATCCCCATATAATAATAATTATAATTATATATAATAAATATTATTATTATTATTAAATATTATTATTATTTAAAAATCAGTTTTTTTAAAAATCAAGGTAAAATTTACCCAACATAAAATTAACCATTTTAACATGTACAGTTCAGGGGCATTGACTGCATTCATGGTGCTGGGCAACCATTACTTCTATCTAGTTAGTTCCAAAACATGGTCGTCAGCTTACAAGGAAACTCCACACACATAAAGCCTTCCCTCCCTTTTCTCCTCCCTCAGCCTTGGGAAACCACTAGCAGCCCTTGTCTCTATGCATTTACCTATTCTGCATATTTCATGTAAAGGGGCCATACAGTATCTGCTTTTTCACAAAGCGTCATGTTTCTGAGGTTCATCCACATTGTATTTATGTTTTTATTTATTTATTAGCATTATTATTATTTTGGAGACAGAGTCTTACTCTGTTGCCCAGACTGGAGTATAGTAGTGTGATCTCAGCTCACTGCAACCTCCACCTCCTGGGTTCAAGCAATCCTCCTGCCTCAGCCTCGCGAGTAGCTGGGAATACAGGTACACACCACTGTGCCTGGCTAATTTTTTTTGTATTTTTGGTAGAGATGAGGTATCGCCACATTGGCCTGGCTGGTCTCAAACTCCTGACCTTAGGTGGTCTAGCCACCTCAGCTTCCCAAAGTGCTGGGATTACAGGCATGAGCCACTGCACCTGACCCAACACTTCATTCTTTTTAAATGACTGAAGAATATTTCATTTTGCCAATATACCACGTTTTGTTCGCTTATCCATCAGTGGATAAGTTTGGGTTGTTTCCACATTTTGGCTATTGTGAATAGTGTAATCAGTATAACTTTTACATCCACATGTGTAACGATTATATGTTAGGTGAATGTCAGTCGCTGATACAAACAACTGGAGCTTATTTTCTTTTTTTTTTTTTTTTTTTTTTTTTTTTTTTGATTAAACCAGTATTTATTAACAGCATGCCTGATTCTGCGGAAAGCAGACTTGAACCCTGGTCATTCCTACTCTCAGGGGCAGCATGTTAAGGATAGCAGCCTGCAAGTCTATCTCTTAAACTCCACTTGTGTGTACACCTTGGTGACGTCACTGTACTTGCCTTCAGGGGGCTGGTAGTTAGGGATCGGTGGTGTGTAACATGGCCCTTCCCTCTCAAAGGGGAACAGGTTGGGATCCCGCTTGATGGCCTCAGCATGGAGCTTCGGGGACTCGAGTCGCAGTTCCTCCAGAGCTTCCTGCTGGGCTTCTAGCATGGCCCTGATGGTGTCCCTCTCCATCTTATGCTCTTGCTGCTTGTACAAGGACCACTTCTTCAGAAGCAGAGCTCTCCTCTCAGTCTCCTCAAAGGTGAGCTCCACCTGAGGCCGCTGTCTTGCTTTATCCAAGAACTTTACAGGGGTAATAAAATCTTCAATAGGAATTAGCTCTTGACTAGCCTTTTCCAGTTTTCGGATCCTTTTTTTCAAGCGCTCCTTTGCTGCTTGGTCTTTTTTAGGATCTACCTTCTTCTTCTTTCGAAGAGGTTCTGATCTCATGGGAATGAGTTCCCAGAAAGACAACAATGATGCTCGCTGGTGAGTATTTCTAATGTGCATCTGCCAAGTTCCCAGAGGCCCGCTCGTCGGGCGCAGGGTTAGCGAGACACCTCGCAGCACGTAGGCCGTCATGGCTACCCTCCTGGAGCTTATTTTCATACACAACCCATTCTCATTACAAAAGTTCTTGAGAGGGCTGGGTGTGGTGGCTCATGTCTGTAATCCCAGCAGTTTGGGAGGCTGAGGCAGGCAGATCACTTGAGGTCAGGAGTTTGAGACCAGCCTGGCCAACGTGGTAAAACCCTATCTGTACTAAAAATACAAAAAATTAGCTCGGCATGGTGACAGGTGCCTGTAATCCCAATTACTCTGGGAGACCAAGGTAGGAGAATTGCTTGAACCTGGGAAACACAGGTTGCAGTGAGCCAAGATCGTGCCACTGCTCTCCAGCCTGAGTGACAGAGCGAGACCCTGTCTCAAACAAGCAAACAAACAAAAACAACAAAAAACCACAAAGTTCTTGACGGTGTGTCCCCATTGCTCCGGGAGGGACAGGCCTTTGTTTTCTCTCTGATGCACTCTGGGCCCCAAAAGCAGCAGGCAGGGTGACCCTGGGTCTGAGGCCCAGTTCCAGATCCCACCCTCCCTGCAGCTCATGAAAATGGGGAGTCAGTTGTCACACCCTCCAGCCCTGTGTGTGCCTCGTTCCTATGGACATCCTAGAAGCTCAGACCTGTGACATTGAAGAAAGCCTTCAGGCTGCACAGTGGGTTGGTGCTCAGCACCCTTTATGTGTCACTGGAGATCTGTAATTACATTTCTGCATGTGGGAAAAATGAATAGCAGCAGGACCAGGGGGCTACAAATGCATGAGGAAGTAAAGCCCCTTTGTCCGCCAAGGCTTCACTGCACTTCTCTAGCTGTTCGACTTAATTCTTCACCTTAGGAATTTGAAAATTTAATAGCCTATTTCATGGTAATTTCCGAAACAGTTGTCTTCATTTTTTAGAGATGAATATGCAGGATCATGATCAAAACATATCCCGAGGCCTCCTTGGTGCCATGCATTATACTGATGACATAGAATAATCCATTTAATCCTCACCACAGCCCTGTGCGGGAGGTTCTGTTTTGATTCTGATTTACAGGTGAGGACACTGAGGCACTGAAAGACAGACACAGAGGGAGCCCGGCTAGTACACAGCGGAGCTGGACTTAAACTCAGACCTCCTGGCTCCTGGTTTCCAGCTTACAACTATTAGCAGCCATCTGCATGTGTGGCTATCAAAAATGAGCTCTCAAACAACATTTGGTATCCAATTTCCACTCCCCATTTTATAATTTTGCATGAAAAAAATTTATGTTACTATGATGAATTACTGAGATGAAGTTCTGATGCACTTTGTTCATGTTTAATTGCTTTGGAACCTGACTTTGTAAGCACCTGGAAGGAATCAGTGTCAAGTAAGTTTTGAAATGATCAGATACTGCCTCTTTTGATGAATCAGGAATAATCATCAGGTAGGAGTATAATCTCACTGCAACTTGTTTGAGTGGTTTACGGACTTTGCATCCTAATTTGGATCCTAATTTACATCTAACCTTTAAAGTTAGTTGGAATGTCAGTGGACAGCTGCTTGAATAATTTTGTTAACAAATTAAGATGCAAATATTGGAAGACAGAATAAAGCTACTCTGGAGTATATGTCAGGAGTGGACACTATTTTCTCACCTGTAAATTTTCACCACTTTCTTTTTAATTTGCTGCCTCTCGATTTGTTTAAAGTTTTCTTGTCTTCATAGACTTGATGGGTTAAAATAATAAAATAATTATTAAAAAACATTCACATCTGAGAAACTAGAATTTTAATTGTGTGATTCTTTAGGATGGTGTCTCAAACAGCTTTTCTTATATTTTTAAGTTTGGTCTGCATGATGGAAGCATTTTAAAACATCAAGCAAGACATAATTGTTTCGGTTTACTGCTTATTCAATTAAAAAGAAATAGAAAGACTAACGACAGTGCTTATTGGATTCCAAGCCACCAACCCACATTAAAAAAAAATCAATCTTCATATTTCCCTGAGTCAATTTTTTTCTTTTAACCATTAGTATGAGCTAATCCTTATTCAGCATAAAGCTAGGCATTACATTAAGAACTTGCATTTCATACTCACCACAAAATGGCCTAAAATTAGTATTTATTCCATTTTGTAAATGAACAATCTGAGATATAAAAAGATGCATTAACCTGCCAAAGGCCCTTCAGCTAGTGCATTTTAGAGCTGGGATTTTACACCAGGTTGCCAGAACTAGAGGCCTAGCGACCTTCCAAACCCATCTGCTTACCTCCCCGGCCTCAGTTCAGCTATTCCCTATCTTTAGAACAAATAAGAGCATTCGATAATTAAATAATTAGCAAAACAAGTCTTTTTCTTGGAAAATGCCTTTTAACGTACTATTAATCCACTTGTTAAGTTTTTACTACATCCAAGGCAAAGAAGTGTAAAATATAATCCATGCCCTCAAGGAGCTTACAGGGATTGCAATGGGAATTTGTAACACAATGAGAAAATTATGTCAAATGGTAATTCAAACACTGCAACACAGTTCTGATGCTTACCACCTGGAGTCAGTTTCAGGTGCCACAGATTTAAAGGATTGCCTTTCCTTCAGACACCAGCCATAGTTCCGGTGTCCCCAGTCCACTTGCACTGCTGAACAACTGGCTAGAAATGTGGGCACCACATTTCGGGTTTGATAATTTGCTAGAACAACTTGTTATGCCCAGACCGTTTATTCCCCGAAGAAGACCACCAGAGTCCAGAGTCAAAGCTAAGCAGCAAGGATCTTTATTACAGGTTCGAACCCGGAACTCCCACTCACTCTCGGCATGAGAGGGTCCAGAGAGAGAGAGAGAGTTCCCTCCTAGAGTTTTACACAGTATTATATAGTCTAAGAAAAGTGGTCATTGAATCACTATACAGATCAGATGTATGATTGGCTGGTATTTAAACAAGGCGATTTGGCTAGTTATGATTGGTTCCCGCCATTTTGGGTATTTCAGTTCAACATTTGAGACAGAAGAGCAGTTTCTACACAAAGGCAGTTAATCATATTGCGTCAGGTTGCACAACCAGTTTATGGCAGCAGGGGTTTATCTTACTTAAACATGTCTTGTGACTTAACCCCCGGGAAGAAAACAGGTACTTACAGAACTTTCGAAACCTCTGGTACGTACGTGCAGAGATAAGAAAGCAGAAGCAGAACAAAGGGTGTAACCATAGGGAGCAAGGGGGTAGGTAAGTCTTTGTGTTTTTGTGTCCTTTCAAACTCAAAGGACTCAGGAAATACTTATGCATAGTTTTATTATAAGTAATAAAAATTGGAACCTGCCAAGGAAGAAACACACTTGGCAAAGTCTGGGAGGGTCCCAAACACAGAGCCTCCATGCCCCTCCCTGCGGAATCTGAACGTGTCATCCTCTCAGGACATACACGTGTTTCCCAGCCAGGAAGCTTCCCTGTGCTTCAGTGCCCCCAGTTGTTACTGAGACAGTATCACAAAGGCAGGGTTGACTTAATCATTGGCCACATTTTAACTCAATCTCTAGCCCCACCCCTCAGAGATTGGGAGGCCAAACTTAACATCTTGTGTCCCAGCTCTCCAATCACTTGGCCGTTCTTTTTGGCACAGCCTACCTTTTTCTTAAGCACAGATTCAGGTGTGATCCAAGGAGCTCATGAATAACAATGACACTCCTATTACTCAGGAATTTCCAAGAGTTTTAGAGTCTTCCAGGAACCAGGGACAAAGGCCAGTTTAGTTCTTCATTACACAACAGGTGACCCTGTGGCTTTTGACTATGGTTCTTTTATATGTCTAAAATTTGGAGGAGGTACTGTAGGGTACGAATAAAAAGCTTTTAACTCAATTTCCCAGTATATTTGACTGTCATTACCAGTATTATAATTTTACCAACTATGCCAGTGTTTGACCATATTGCAATATGGTAAAGTAATCTGAAAAATAAGAGTAAAAAATGTTGACATATTACTAGAATCTCGTTCAGTCATTAATAATCAGTCCAGCCCATCATCATATTGTGTAACCAAAATGTCTCCCAGGGTGACATCACTCGTATTTGCAGCTTCTGTTCAAATTCTGTCACGTTCCACCAGCAGGAGTGCTTTCCTCAATGCATGGCTTCCCTCTTTCCAGCATCTGGAATCACTGAGCTAAGAGACAGTATCATCTCTTGCCCTCAGCCCCTCTTAAAGTGTTAATATAATATTGGATTTTCCTCATTGTGTAACCCAAACATTCATTGTTATAATCAAGTAGTGTTTCTTCTTCTCACCAGTTATGAGAGTTTCTAATCTTTTCCACATTTAGAAAGCACATTAGGTTCAGCCACTGTGCTGGTCTAGATTCCTGGCAGCAATACAAGCTTAGCAAGTGCCTTCCATCCAGTGGACTCCCATTCACACAGGAGGAGACACAGAACTAGGCGGCGTGTCAACCACTAGGCGATACATCTGCATTTCCTGCCAACCTCAGTTTTGCCAGATGGGGTAAAGACACAATCTACCCCACCTGGTCCTTAGGAATTTTAACATGAAGGTTTAAAAGCAGTTACAGCTTTTACTTAGGAGTTATCCCTCCTTCTGGTATTTTGCAGCCCTGGGCCCAGGACCACAATAGCAGGTAGGTGAAAGAAATTTGAGGTGACGTGGGGAAGAAAGAAAGCTGTAGTCATGACTCCCCTGTAAGAATTGCATACTCATCACAACATTTGCCCTACCTCTTCCTTAGGACCCCCAGAAAAGTGGGGGAATCCATCTAGTGGGACCACCCCCTTGGCTCTCTCATTTTTTTTTTTTTTTTTTTTTTTTTGAGATGGAGTTTTGTTCTTGTTGCCCAGGCTGGCGTGCAATGGCATGATCTGGGCTCACTGCAACGTCTGCCTCCCAGGTTCAAGCGACTCTCCTGTCTCAACCTCTGAAGTAGCTGGGATTACAGGCATACGCTACCATGCCTGGCTAATTTTGTACTTTTAGTAGAGATGGGGTTTCTCCATGTTGGTCAGGCTGGTCTCGAACTCCCGACCTTAGGTGATCCACCTGCTTTGGTCCAC